CCTTGAATCAAGTCAACCTGTCCCGGATCAGCCTAGCGTTGTTGCAACCCAATTATCTATGCCTAACGTGTCTATCCCCTCTTGTTTAATGAACTGTGTATATGTGTTTTTACCTCGATCCGTTTAGTCAGACAGTTGAACTCATGGCCCAATCAGAGTATTTTGTGAACTGTTAATTTTGCTGACCCATGTCTAACTTTGTACTATTCTGTCGAGTTTATCTTATTTATTGATTTTCATCTGTATTTTCCTACCTGGTTAAGTAGCCAATTAAATTCTATCTTTGTGCCTATGCTCGGTCTATCTCTCTTAAACGCTCTCTGTTTTATGCCATACCTTACTTGGGTTCATTCTTCTACTGACTGCTTACCTGAACGGTCGTGTCTGGTTCCGGCTAGTTCGCAATTTTGGTTTTAACGTTATTCCGCTCTGATAGCGGTACCTTGCTTTCTGTTAAGCATTGTGCTTTGTACTCTTGAAACCATTAAGTTTTTTTTTTTTTTTTTTTTTTTTTTTTTTTTTTTTTTTTACCGTAGAAACAGTGACCGGCTTCTTGTTTGTTCTGGACCGGGATAGCCTTTATCTACGCGTGACTTAATTTCAAGCGATATTGCGCTTACAGCGACCTCATCAGGGATACAGCCCACGAGATCCAGGTTGTAGGACTAGTGTACGTTTACCACTGAGTTACTAAGATGGGATTAAATGACCTATTAATTCTAATTTCTATCAGTTTACAGTGTAGCTCCCCGAGACATCTGAAAGTAATTCTATATATTTTAAGGCTAGTGGCTTAAATATATTATGAAACATGCCAAAATCTGCACAGGAAAGTCTCATTGTCCCTTTAATTAATTTCTCATTAATTGATTTCATGTATTCGACAGTATTGACATTAGTAAACATGTGTACTATTAAATGGTCCTAAAATAGGATGTAACAGATTACCATTGCTTCACGATTTGGTTGTGTTTCTCTTATTTGTATTGTTTCATGGTGATGATGATGCTTTGAATTGACCATATTCCCAAAAATTCAACCTCTTAGGGAATTTCGACTTTATCTGAGTTAACTTGATATTATGAAATAAGATTTGATTTAACATTAGACAAATGATTTCTTTCTTTTCATTTCTGAAGTAAATTACTGGAATTTCCAGTTTTTATATATAGTTTTATATGGGGCTAGTTGATTACTCATTGAAATGTATGTATTTGCCCAGCTTTAAATGACTAGAATCAAACTTTTGGAGATGGTACAAGTTTATTCACCGGATTGTTAATTGAACTGTTTTGTAATTTTACTTCTAATACTGGCAGGTTGTATCAGTGAGTGATTTTATATTTACTGCAAGAGCTTGTTAAAAAGAAACTCAAAAGATATATGAATATCTAATAGGTTTTTATGAGCAGTGATTATATTACCAATACTTATTGTGTAAGGGCTGATGATATTACCCATTTAACCATGCTGAATTAAAAGGGGAGGGACTTGAACGTGTGACCTATCAACTACTTAAGCCAGTCTCTGATTCACATCTCAAAGTTGTCAACTTAAAACCAGTGAATAACAATCAAATAGCATCACCAGGCCTATCTGTCTGAGTGACTGATTGTCTAGTGTAAAATCTTGCACTTGGTTATTAGCTAAGTTATATTTATGTCATTTACAAGTATTCTGAGATAACTTTCAATTAAGACTGACAAAGCACAATAATTTTTAACAATCAGCAATGAGAGAAAATACGTTACTAAAGTTTCAATAACTCAGTTAAATGAAAAAGAAAAGAAAATCAGGAGCTAAATGCAACTGACAATCCAAAACGGATTTATTTCGTGGACAAACGTTAGTGTTTGAAGTATTAATATGAATTAATTTGTGAGTTGTGCTTCGGTGGTTCTTTGGCGGAATTCTCGCCAACTACACATTTGACTCAGGGTTGGATTCCCACTCAATACACTCCAAAGCTGGTAGTCAGGCCGATAAAGAGGGATAGTTGGGTTTGAGGCTATCGACAGTATCCCGTTAAAATAACACCCCTGCTATGGAAACTTCACAGCTGAAGCTTGAAGCCTTATGTTCCATTCAGAACGTAAAGAAATAAAACAAAGGTATGGTAACGATTGAGCACAGAATATAATTTTATCATTCTAGATGTTAGATTTCTAGAAAATGTTCATCTCATCTCACAGATGAAATTATCACAATTCAGTTTTTAATATCTGAAGTTAGATAAGGAAGTGGATTAACTTTATTTTGCTCAGTCATGCTAGTGAATGATAAATGAGCTGGGAGTTGTTCCTTTTTTCAATACCCTAAGGAATTTTTCACATAAAAAAGCAAATAATGTTTCACACAATCCAACTACACCCAAGAATTATTACTGAATTATTCTAAGATTTAAGTCGAATATACTTTGATATAATTCTTCCGATTCATCTTTCAAGAGTTATTCATAAATTTTCAATGGTTGATGTGTTTTTCGAATTTGACCGCGGACTGATATCAGTTAGAGAACCATTGAAACCACCAAGGAGTACTGGACAGCTGTTTCATCCTAGCTTGAGAATCATCGGCAGTACACATTCACTACCAGGGTTCGAACCCAGGACCTTCCGGTTACTAGGTAAGCTGGTATACCATTCAGCCATTGGGATCCGATTCAAATTTAGAATCCTAATCATCGATGTGATTGCATGCATTAATTGTAGTAACAAAATGTTCTTATAATTAAATAATTCTTCTTCTTCTGTAAATGTGTAATGCAAGAAGTTGATTTATATGACTCCGATTTCATTTTTTTAGTAAACAAACGTTTGATTTATATGAACTGTTCTGTATTTTTCACTCAGTTCTATTTGAAATAAGTATCTATATAAAACAATTAGTCTCTTCTATAAATTTGGATAGTGTTAATCTGAAAAATGTGATGTATTTGTGCAATACATTTCGAGCATATTCCGAAATGGTTACAAAGATAGATAGATGAACTTTGGAAAATCAATAGACACAGAAGGCAGACTACCAACTTCGTCTATAGACAAACATCTAATCGATATGAACCATAAGATTGATGTTAACACAGTTTTTAAGGTCATTTATGAAAAATAGTCAAGAGGTCTTATTGAAATAAGCTGAGGCTATAGCTATTCATAAACTTACTCTTTCCAACCCCTGTCTCCGCCCGTGTGTTCAAAAATAATTTTTTTTTATTACCCTTAACCTCCTTTGGTATTCCTCATCTGGTTAGCTAACCAAACGTTGTGTTAATCATTCTTATTATTCTTAAATTCTTTTTGTCACTCTGTTTAAATAAAATATAATTATAAAAGTTACATTTATGCTTCGATAGAGTAATTCGGCTTTTAATTAGATTATATATGTCCAAACCAAGTTCACTTTTAACGGTTTGAAAAAATTTGGGCGTTGGGTATATGACATTCATTATAATAAAGGTTTTTTTGTATTTCCCAATGAATGAAAAACAAAACGATATTGTTTTTACTGACGTTTCGCTATTTAATGCTAATACAAAAAAACCTTTATTATAAAGTATAATTATATTTCAATAGTTTACGCACAATGATAAGTTTTGTTATTGGTAATATTTCGAGCAAAATTACTGCCCGTGTTCACACTACTGTTGGAATTGTTTCATTCACATATTTATGATTTGTACTCATATATATAGTTCATTATTTTTTTTGCTCATTCATGTTTTTGTATTCAGAATTATATTCCAAGTTTTATTGAATTTGAGATTTTCCCGTCGATTGATTGGACCGAAGTGCTCGGTCTCAGGTTGACATGTCGGCTTCTTGTGCAAATGCTTCGACGATGTCTGGGCATTTAGTTAGTATTTAATTGGTGGATGAGAAATGCAGGTACATCCAGATGACGAGTCCCAAATAGGACGAAATGCGCATTCTGGATTCCAGTGCTAGTCACCATCCACCAATTTTATATTCTAAGTTGTTGATAGTTGTACTGAATCACCCTTGATACATGTATCAAGTGTGACCTTAATGAATATCGATTCTGTTATGAGTCTCTCTTTCCATTTGTTCATGTTTGTTTCTAGAACACACACATTGTTCCAATCGATATTGTGGTTTTTGTCCCATGCATGTCCAGCTATCAATGAGTTTTTTTCAAGATTCTTGTACGCTTGTGTTCCTGTTGGTGGTTGACCTTTGGTTAGGCGTTTATGTTCATTCACTCTTATTTTGAGTGATCTGGACGTTTGCCCCACATATTTAGTCGGACAGTGGGCACAAGATATTTTATAAATCAAATTGTTTTTATCCATCATTTTTATGGGATCTTTCAGTGGATTTATTTTATTTTTGATTAGATTCGTCGGTTTAAAGGTTGTTCGAATGACGATAATTTTGAGGTTTCGTTGTATTGCCTCTGATGTAGAATTTTTATATGGTATTGTGACTGTCTTTTTCCACTCTTCCATCTTGTTATTCTCCGGTTTTACCCTCTTTTTTCTCTTCTTTATATTATCTTTTATAAATTCTTTAGGGTAGTTGTTTTCGAGTAGCATTTTGAATAGGACTTTTATTTCTTTACGCTGGTCCTCTGGTGTTGTTGTAAGTCCACGTATTCTATCTGCAAGACCTTGTATTAATCCTCGTTTTACCGTGAGTGGATGAGCTGAGTGATAATCAAGGAATCTTCCTTAGTGTGTGGTTTTTCTATATATCATCGTTTTTATGCTACCATCTGTCATTCTTTGTAGTAGTCACTCTGTTTACTTTGTGTGCCCTTAATTATCATTTTTTCCTTCATATAAATTGACTTGATAAACAATTGTGTAGTCAAATCTCCGTCTTCTAATAACACTATCCAAATTTCAAATCATAATCTAATTTTTTTCATAAGTGAATATAAACTCATGATTTTGATTACTGTTTTATTTGTGAAAAAGAACTTCTATGTGTAAAGATAGCTGTAATTATCACATTGTTTTTTTGTTTTACTTTCTCTTTTAGTTTGACTAAGATGAATATTTATTGGACATTTAACACATTTGTTTTATTATGCGTATTACATAATTGTGCATCGAACGGCATATTTCATCAGTGGTCTGAAAGTTCCCAGACTTTGGAATTAAACAAGTCTAGTGAAGAATTGCTTACAACTCCTAATAGTTGTCAAGTTATTCTAGTTGAGAGTATACCAGAGAATTTAACATTTTCATCAGGATCTCCAAAATTTTTATCAACATTTTTTGCTTGGAAAATGCTTATTGATTCTGCTAGAGAAAATATTTCTATTGCATCATTTTATTGGAGTTTATTTCCAGATTCATCATCCAATTATAGCGCATCTGATAAGGTAAATCATTATTATATAATTTCAAAATGGTTAATCAGTAAATAATAATAATACTAATACTAATAACAGCTTTATTCCAAACAGTATTTGTGGTACAGGTATGGAATTTTCAGCGTGCATTACAGTATATTGCATCTAATCACCTCATAAATTATATAAGATTTTTAAAAATCAAAAATAAATAAAAATAAAATAAATAAGCTATAAATAAATAAAATAAATAAATATTAAAAATTAAGAAAAACAACAAACAGCGTAGAGTATTTCATTTCAAACAATGCACCACAGGATTTGAAATATAAAGTTGATGTGTGGTAGAAGATGAGAACAACAGTGTAATAGTGACGAGGAAAGGAAAACAAAAGCTAATGAGACTATTTGTTAGAGTGCTGCAGTAAGTTTATCGTGTCATACCTAACGGATTTCTCATCACATAACAGCTGTGCCAGATATGGTATTGTGGAGTCTTTGTATTTGGTAGTCCTAGCATATAGCCTCCTATAGCTGCTTCTAGTTGTTCCAGATGAAATGCAAGGAGATAGATGCGTATAGAGAGGATGCTCGGGGTCCGACAATACTGTATTCGCTAGTTTCTTACATGACATTATATGTCTATCTACGATAGTGTTCACCAGTTGGTTTAACGATATCCCACTTGCCCTACTAACAGCTTTTAGTGCCCTTCTCAGCGAAGCAAAGTCTTTCTTAAGTAGTCCAGGAAAGACTAATGGGGAGCAGTAAAGGAGGATGGGTAGAATACAAGAATTTACAAACTGAGAAAGTAAAGATTGCTTTATACCAGACTGCCTAAATTTCCTAATGTAGAACGTTAAGCGAAACATCTTTCTAGTAACTAGCAAGATGTGGGAAGACCAGGAAAGATCGGCAGAAAAACTCAGCCCAAGGTACTTGACATTAGATGTATTTTCAACCTCTATGCCGTCAATGATAGTGGGGCCATGTGAGCTAACTAGTTGCTGTAGGTCACATTTACGTCTGAAAGTGAAATTGACTACCTGACATTTAGACGGATTAAGCTTAAGTCCGTTTGAAGAGGACCACTGACTAATTTCCGACAGAAAGCTATTTAATTTGGAACAATCTGACTGAGAGTTGACAGGCATAGAAACCGAGAGGTCATCGGCATACTTAACAAAAGTGGCTACATCAGAATGAGGCAAGTCATGTAAGAAAAACGAGAACAGAAAGGGAGAAAGAACAGCACCTTGAGGAACACCAGCTAAAGTAAGTGAGGTAGTGGAGGATTTTCCATTGTAGACGGTGTACTGCTTCCTTTCAGAAAAATAGGAATGCAACCACTTATTTGTCCAGCTTTCAGCCTGTGTTGCAGCAAGCTTACTTAGCAAGAGAGACCTGGGAACAGAGTCAAATGCAGATGTGTAATCAAGGAAGGCACAGCGAACGTATTTAGCTCCTTTATCTAAACTAGAGACTATGCTATGGTGGAGGACGACAGCGGCATCTAACGTACTCCTACTATGTTTATAAGCAAACTGGTTGGGGTCGTTGAAAGGTTTTAAAGAGGGATCAAGATTAAGTAAAATAAGTCTTTCCATAACTTTCAAGAAGGGTGAGGTAATTGAAATGGGTCTAAACTTAACATTAGGTCCACTTGTAGATTTAGGCACTGGAACGATCTTGATGTTTTTCCATGATTCAGGTATAATACTTTTGGAAAATGTCAGTTAGCGGGGAACACAAGATGTCGGCACACTTCTTAAGGATAACAGCAGGAACACCATCAGGACCGAGGGACTGCTAAAATTTCATTTTCCCAATGTGTATTGTAGTGCAATAGTGGTGGAAATTGAAGAGAAATTCACGGTTTTAGAACAACTCAAACCAATGACCTCTGAATCACTATCTGGGTATCCAGTTGATTTGACTACGAAATCCCAGGTTTTAATGATGTCTGAGTTTAATGTTACTCTTTAAAGCTTAGATGAAATTGGTTCTGGAGAAGTTATCAAGCCTGGTTACGAAACGCTTTTTTTGGTTGAATACCAAGTCTTCAAGAATTATGAAAAAGAGAAGACGTTCAGCGAAGAGACTCTTTTCGGCGAATTCATTCACATAGCTGTACAATCGCATTTATATATAATTATTTGAGTGTGTGTGTGTGTACATGAGGTTTGTCAAAATTAGATAATTGATCAGGTAATAAAAGAATGATCTAATATAGAAACAAAGTTAATTGGACAGCAACTAAATTAAGATTGAGTTAGTAAGTTAGATGACGTAATACAATTGACTAAAATGTTTTAACTTAGGTCAGGTTAGCAACAGAGGTAATTACAGGTAGAGACTAAGTAGAAGTGGGGTAGATAATAATGCCATTTAGATTAGAAATGAAATTGAGCAATTAAGTTGGATGACGTAACATAAATGACTATAAATTGAGCGTTGGTCAGGTCAATTAAAGTGGTAGTGAGGTGTAGAAATTAAATCGGGTAGGGATAGAGACAAGAAAGTTGAAAATGCAAAATATTACATTTTGCAAAATCTATGAATCCTAGGCCGCAAAAGCCGCCCACGCATAGCGTCCCGAAGAAATCGCTCTACATAAACCTTCAATTCAATGGAGATATATCTGCGGAAATACTAAAAAATCGACTGTCGCGCTCACTCAAGAAGACTTTCTTCGCAGCTGAACTACGACTAACTTTCTCCACAAAACCTATGATTCATGTGAACGTGAAGGATAAGCTACCACTGTTGGCCTCATCAATGTGTATCTACCAATTCACCTGCTCGTGTGGAGCCAGGTATGTCGGCCGTACCCAGCGTTCGCTTTCCAAGCGTATCACCGAACACTTACCAGCATGGTTTTACAAAGGAGAAAAGCGATGTCCCCGCAGCTCCATCTTAGAACACCTGATAGAATCCGGACACCAAGCTGCACCCCAAACAAACTTCAAAGTCGTCTACAGAGTAAGAAGTAGTCTTCCAAAAGGTGTACGAATCAGACTTCTTCAAACTGCAGAAGCAATGGCGATTCACTTGCTAAGCCCTGAACTCTGCATACAGAAGAGGTTCGTTCAATCACTAAACTTACAATGGACTTAACCTACATTATTACCTGAAAGGTAAATTCTACCTAATTTTTTTTTTCTGTCTCTTCATTGGTATTATTCTGTCTTCTCAATTGTAATATTTTGCATTTTCAACTTTCTTGTCTCTATCCCTACCCGATTTAATTTCTACACCTCACTACCACTTTAATTGACCTGACCAACGCTCAATTTATAGTCATTTATGTTACGTCATCCAACTTAATTGCTCAATTTCATTTCTAATCTAAATGGCATTATTATCTACCCCACTTCTACTTAGTCTCTACCTGTAATTACCTCTGTTGCTAACCTGACCTAAGTTAAAACATTTTAGTCAATTGTATTACGTCATCTAACTTACTAACTCAATCTTAATTTAGTTGCTGTCCAATTAACTTTGTTTCTATATTAGATCATTCTTTTATTACCTGATCAATTATCTAATTTTGACAAACCTCATGTACACACACACACTCAAATAATTATATATAAATGCGATTGTACAGCTATGTGAATGAATTCGCCGAAAAGAGTCTCTTCGCTGAACATCTTCTCTTTTTCATATGACTAAATGGGGATTTTCAAGATCTTCAAGAATTGATTATAACCCTTATCTTCTCTGTTATATATCAGATGCCTTCAAGAGTTTGCTTTTTAGCGATTTAACTGTTCTTGTTGTCATTTCTACTAATAGTTTAGGTTGCTCTTTTCACCTACTTTTAAGAGAGGACTTTTTATAAACGCTGTGGTCCTTTGTGTGATTAACGTCAAGCCACATAATTTGGAATCATCGATTCATCAATTATAACACTGTCTGAATCCTAGTCATGTTGTGGTGGTGTGATAAAGACAATATTTGCCAACGGAATATTATTCTCACACATTCCCACAGTTCAAGATTGCATTAGCAAAAGAATACGATATATCTATTTGAACAGTCTATTTGATGTTAGAGACAATACTTTCCCCACGGTTATATACTGTATTAACAACAAAATACTATGCATATTTTAACGTTCTATTTCATGTCATTTGACGTAAACCAAAATCACAAACTCAGTGATTATTATTGTTCCCTTGGGCACCTAGTGGAACATAGGGCTTCAACTGCAAGTCTCTATTTGCTTCTGTCTTCTGCTGTGCTTTTCACCTACATCCATGTATGGGCAGAGGGAAAATCAATTGACGAGGCTATAAAGTTACATAGATTGAGATGGATAGGTCACGTGCTGCGCATGCCTAACCATCACCTCCCTCGACGAGCATTACTAGCTGATATAGGTGCAGGTTGGAAAAGAGTAAGTGGTGGCCAAACAAAAACATGGCATCGGTGCGTCGGTGGCACAGTGGTTAGGACTCTCGACGACCATGCACATGGTCCGGGGTTCGAGCCCACGCCGGCGCACACCTGATATCTATGGTTGGCCTGCAAAATTTGGGCTACCGATATCCATGCTGAAAATTCCATACTTGTACCAAAAATACAGTGTGGAATCAAGCTGTAAATCAAAAATCAAAAAATCATTGACAGTTAAACTGAGTCAGGTAGAGAGATGCAGACTCCCGGGTTGGGGCCCTCGGGATTTAAAGAATCAACGGCTGGAGGCAACAGGTGATATGGTTCAAAATCGTCGTCAATGGCGCAGATGTATTCAGTCTCTGTAATCTTTCATATTTCTTTCTACCATTACCCATTCTGTTTCACTCTTATACTTGTGAAACTCTATTAATTCTCTCCACTCATCTCCTTGTTTACCTTTGTGGGCTATTTGGAACATGGTAACTCGAACTGCTGCACTTTGGTGACAAGTTCTATGTTGAATGCAGACAGACAGAGACATCCATGTTAGTCCATACTCTTCGACTCCTCTTCACACGATCTCCTCCATGTCACTCTTGCACTGACATCCAAAACGCCGCTTCCCT